TTCAAAAAAAAAAAAAAGCTGACTATAAAATTTTAGCATTTACCCGCTATATAATTTTATCCAGGTATAATGTAATTATGTCTGGCTATAATAGGCAATTGGAAATATGGCTCCTGTAATCCTTACAAGCAAAAATAGGGAACACAGTGAGTTTGAATCCATCTAACCACAGGACTATCGAAACAGTAAAGGTAAGACCTACAGAGCAGTCAGAATATGAATTATAGAAAAAAAAAATATATATATATACAGAGAGAGAGATAAAACACATCGCTTTTCCTTGTAACATACCACTAAACAGCAACAAAACAGCCAACTATTCACCAATTCACTATTCACATTATAAAAATATCCCATTTTACTCTTTTGGTGCTCTGAATTAATTATGGACACGCACAGGATGCTGACTGTGTATCGGACATCTCTATTTCTTTGGCCTATTTCAATTTGCACAAAGGGGAAATATTTTTCTTTCCATTTTGAGTTCAACAGTTGTTTATTCTTTTATTTCTAGTTTATAGATCAGGTGTTAATATAATAACTTTTAAACTTTTTATCTTTATGTGCATGTGTACATGTGTTCAGATTGCCTTGGAGGCAGGAGAACATCAGATTGTCTGGAACAGAAGTCACAGGTAGCTCTGATTCACCCAATGTGTGTGCTGCCTCTGCAAGGACAGCAAATGATCTTAGCTAACGAGCCTTTCCCCAGCCTCATATCATGGATTAAAACAAGGCATATTCAGACAACTAAAATGTCCTGTTTTGGTAGTATATTACAGTCATCCCCAAATTGTTTTGAACCTACAGTAGGAGTAAATAGTACGTGATCTGAAAGCACATAGTCCACAATAAAAATACATGCATTTACAGCTTATATGTATGTTGGTATCATGTCCTTTTGAAATGTATACACCTTATCCTTGTTCATTCAAATGCTGATTTCTCCCCTACCCCCACTTTCTGGTTTCAATCCGGATATTGCATTGTGATACTTATTCTAAGCATCCTGTCTCAACTTTGTGTAAACAGGCCAAAATAAAGCAACTAGTCACAATGTTGAGCAATGGGAGGAGCCAGAGGACAGGAAAGAGGGGAGGAGCCAGAGGACAGAAAATGAGTGGGAGGAAAAAGGGTGAGGCAGAGCTGGGAGAACAGAGGCAGGAGAAAAGGTGTTCTATCGACATGGAGAGATGGACTGGACCTAATATATCACAAAAAGCAAGTATATGGGAAATCTGAATGGTAGAAACTACGTGGGCTTGGAGATTTAGGATGGAACAACTATTGCCCAGCATTGTGTTCTAGGTTGATTAAATAAATCCCAGTGTCTGTGTGGTGATTTGGGTATACAGCTGTTTAGGACTAACAGCAACATTACTAAAACATAAACCAACAGTAAATATTAATCAACAACTACAACATACCTACATGTGCTACTGTAGTAATATATTATGTAATTATAAAATATAATAGAAAATAGCTAAGTAATTTAATATGTAAATTAAATATTATTATTAATGGCAAATAACTATAGTATCACCAGAAATTATTCATAACATTTAATAATAATGTGATTTCATTTACTTTATTATTTTGGGACATCTTGACTTAATCCTCTCTGATTGAGAAATTTAAAGTTCAATTTGTGTTGAGACTTGGTTTTAAGAGCTGTCACACATACCTCATGAAATTATGCTGCTCTAAATGAGACTAGGTGATCGTGGCCCTAACACCCTGAGCTTTCAGTTCCATCCTCTGATAATGAAAAGGTTTAGCTGGATTTGAATTTGTTTACTTAATATTGTTTTGCTATTGCCGACTAGAACCCAGAAATAAGTATCTACCTTTCGTGATATCAGATAGGTTTTGAAAACGTATTAAGAACAAGGACTATTTCTAACAGGATCTCAAGGGCAGGCTCTTTGTCCTCCCCCCCACCCCCAGGGGAGGAGCAGTCCTGTTAGGCCACAGAGGAGGACTTTGCAGCCAGCCTTGAAGATACCTGATAAAACAGGGTCAAATGAAAGGGGAGGAGGTCCTCCCCTATCAGTGGACTTGGAAAGGAGCAGGGAGGAGACCAGGGAGGGAGTTGGGGAGGGGGAGGGAATGAGGGAGCGGGATACAGCTGGGACACAGAGTTAACAAATTGTAACTAAAAAGAAAAATTAAAAAATAAATAAATAAAAATAAAAACACCAATTTTAATTTACTCTGATAACTTTATACCTGCATACAATGTATTTTGATTGTAATCACTCCTCACCCTCTATCTCACCCCCTCCATGCCTCTGGAACCTTCTGCTTCCCAAAACGTCCCCTTCTTACTGTTGTGACGTTTTTTTTAAAATGTGCCACTGAGTCTGAGGATGGCTGGGTGTGCATGGGTGTAGGGCTGATTACCAGTGGCTGCACTCCTAAGGACAGTGTCCATCCATTCCCACAACTGCCACTCACTGTCAATAGCTCCTCAGGAAGGGGCAGGGCACAAGGAGCAGGTAGAGCCTCAAAGACCCCTTGCCCACACATACTGTCACACTTGAAAAAAAATTAAAACTACGAAAACGGCAAGATATTTTTAGCCAGGTTAGGCCACTCCATTTTCCAACTTAGGGAACGCACAGAGACAGAGTTTTAGTAGGCAACACAGGTGATTTTGTTAAATAAAGTCATGTTTACAAACAGGTTTTCCAACTGCTTTCTACAAGGTGGCAGGGTGGAGTTTGGAATGGAAGCTGTTACTTTTTCACTCATGGTTATGCACTGTCTCTGTCTCAAAGGGCTATAATCTTAGCTACTCAGGTGGCCCAGGCAAGCTAACACCAATTTAAGACCTGCCTGGGCTACAATTATGAGTTTCAGGCCAGTGTCCACAACCTAATAAGGTTCTGCCTAACATAAAAACTACAAAAAAAGTGGCCTGGGTGTGTAATTCCATGATAGGGCACTTGTGTAGCATGCAAAAGCCCTAGGCCTAAGGCCCAGGACCAGAAAAAAAATTTTTTTTTCTATAGTGAGAATTTTGTAATTTTGGTTTCTTTAAAAAACACAGAACTAGCTGGTCACTGTGGTGCACACTTGTAATCCCAGCACTCAAGGGTTACACAGGAACTCTGTGAGTTTGAGGCCAGCCTGGTCTATAAAGTGAGTCCAGGACAAACAAAACAAAACAACCTCCCCCCCCACAGAAATGTTATGGAAATATGTTTTAGCTTTAATCCTGGGGGTGGGGATTTTAATCCTGGGGCTGTTTTGGAGCAACTGACTATGATTTGTCTCATGACTGTGTGACATTTGGAATTCTGGGAACTTTTCAGATGATATATAAATACGATAGGGCCCTGATAGGTGGGTTGTTCCTGGGTGGGTGGTTGGTGGTTAGGTAATTGTGCACAAAAAAACATGAAGAAATTAGATGAAATTAGATATCCTGATTGCCCTCAAGGAACTTGACACCCCCTAATCAGCAGGAAGTAGTTTAATGATAATGTCACCCCTTTCACTTCTATCCTTTTTTCTCTCATCTAGTAGTAGGGGGAGAGAAGAGGTAGGGATAAAAAGGTGGAAAAGAAAGGAAGAAACAAAAACAACAAAAAAACCCACAAAGTAGCCAAAATGCCTGCTACATTTTTCTCCATGCAACAAACAGCAAAGTTGGGCAGCTCCTTTTTTTTTTTTTTTTTTTAATGGACTGGGAAATAGATGCCAATATTTAATTCCTCCCAGCATCTACCACTGCAAGGTAGGAATATGCTGATGTTCACTCATCTCGCCATGAGGCACGTAAACAGATGCTAATATGCGCTTAAGAACATCACCTACCTTCTCTGGTAGCACTCTGTATGCACCAGGAAACATGCTCTCCTTCAATAGCCTGCTCAACGGCTTGCCTGTGAGCGAGGCAGCAAATGAATTTCATATATGTCACTGTTAATGATAATGTGTGCCATCTTTATTCAAATAACCTGCTTGATAATTTCTATTGAGCAGGGCTGGCTTCCGGCCAGATTCTGTTCAATTACTTTTCTCCCAAAAGAGAATCTCTGCCAGATGTCCCCCAATATCCATCCCCTCTCCTTCTTCTTCAGGGTCAGAACCTCTATTAAGTGGGCCCAGGATGGTTCAAAGGCCCTCCCTCTCTCCCCTGCACATACAAGCAGGGAACCTATGTTTTGGTCACTGGGATGTAAAGGAATGATACATAACTTCAAAAGAAGGGTTGCTTTTCTGTGCCCTTTCCTCCTGATGTTGGTGTTCAGGTCGGAGGGCTGCAATTTAAACAGCCACCCCAGAGGAAGAAGCAGCCAGGAGTTAAAGCAGCCAGATGAACAAGAAATGGTGAACTGAGTCCCAGACAGCTATGATGTTACCATTCAGGTCTGGGTTCTTGGAGAGAAATACATGTATATATTTTGTGATCTTTCAGCATTTAGGTTTTTCTGGATGTTGCTAGTGATTAAGGTTTAATCAATATACATGACGACAGCTGACAACAGGCTCAAGCTAGGGATCAGAGAAGAGGCAGCTGGGCCACTTTCTCAGGCCTGCGTGTGCGGGTGCTAAGACCACCAACAAAGTCTGCAGGTTCCCAACACAGACTGTGCTCAGGCCACTTTGAAGAAAACTGTATGGCGCAACCTTAAGGTGCACATCACGTATACGCCATGACTGGTGGCAGCAGCTTGGGCAGCAAATGAATGAGGGGTCGCCATTTTCTTCCAGCTCTTCTCCCCAACCTGAAAACCATGCGTCGTCTTGCTGACAATGGCAGGCCATGTCGAAGGTCAGTAAAGCTTTTCATGACACATTAATTTACAAGGTTCTCTTGTTCCTGTCCTTATAAGCCCCTGTCAAAGCAGGTGGCTAGGCTCATGGCTAACTAACTTTCTCTCCTGGGCCACAACCTAAATGTCCAGAAGCGAAAAGTCAGCATAAACAAAGGTTCTGTGTTAAAACTCCAGATGCAGGTGCACAAACGGTGGAGGCGGCCAGTGCCGTACCTGAACACTTCCAGCACTGTCCTCTCCGGGAGCTTGGCAGCCACGCGGCTAAACGCCCTCTTGAAATCTTCTAGAGTCAGAAATCCATGATCTAGATGAAAACAAAATATTAAACATTCACTTATGCCTTTAAACCCTGTGAACTAAGACTTCAGCCATAACAGCTATAGGAAGACAGATTTTAATATATTATCACAATCAGGGGAAGAAAACAGTAATGATTTACAGTTGATCTGACATAGACAGTCACTATACACCCGGTGAACGCATCTCCCTGGAAGAATTTCAAATGTGGTAGGGGTACCCCGCCCTTTAGGGCAATGCTGGAGAAGCAGGAAGGCCACTGCCAGCCTTGCACTTTCTGAGTCCCTAAGTCCTAGGGAAAGGACTGCATAGACATGATGCATTAGGCTTTGGGTCTTTGTGATCTGCCGAAACATTTCAGTCTTCTAAATTCATTGTTTCCTGGTTCGGCGTTAGACCTATGATATATTAGTATTCAGGGGAAATTATAACCACAGCCAGTACATAAATCTTGGAAGGCACACTTAGTGTGGATTCTTCCAGGCATCTATAGGTCAAAGTGAGAGTGGCGGAAGTGTCTCCCACATGACCACGGGTGGCTTGAGGCCTGTATCCCCTAGGGCCAGTCCTTTGGCTGTTACCACCACAACATAGGTACAATGGGTAAACACATAGGTACAGTACACAAATGCAATTATATGACTGTAACTATTTCATCCAGGGAGTATGTCAGCGACTTGGTATCCCGACATCGGAAAGGGTCTACCAGCACCTGAGGCCACAGCCAACAAGTGAGTATAGTAGTCACTGTTGTTTCACTGGAGACATAACACCACTCACAACTTCTCAGCAGCAATTCTTACATGAAAACACTTTCAAGACACTTACAGTGCACGTCGAAAGCTGTGAAGATGTGCCTTATCTCATTCCGATAGAGCTGGGCTTCCTTCTTTCTCTTTACGACATTTAAAAACCCCTCAAGTGATATACCTAGAAGTGGGGGATTTGGGGGAAAAATTTGCCAAAGATTACTATAGTCCTGTTCAAGAAAAAATAAGCCAGACACGAACAATGATAAATATCACAGATAATCTGATTTTTATCTTTCACAAAGGGTATTCACTCATAAATACAGCCGAAAAGACATCGTGTTGTGCTACATGCTAAAGCAAGTCCAAACGTAGCAATCAATAATGAAAACCAGAGATACGCAGGTTCACTGAGCTTCTCCAGGAATGGAGGAACCATGCATGACCTTGAAAAAGTTTAACCCTCTCCCTCTAATGGATCCAAAAGACAGGCATGGAACCAGTTATTAAAGGAAGTCGCATAATTTTCCTTCCCTTATGCTGCTTTAATACCCTTTTTTTCCTAGCCAGATGCCACTTCAGCAGGTTCTTCCCCCCAGCTGGGAGACAGGGTCAGAGAAGTAGTTTCTCAAAAGTCAATATCAATTGTATGCCACAGATAAAGGTGGAGAGGATATTACATAAACAATAGAGCTGGCACTGTCCCCAGCCCTGGGTACACCCCACAACGAGTTTAGCAGCCTCGGGCTCAGCTTCCTGCGACTCTCATAATAAAAGAGCCCAGCGTGATGATATGAGATTGGGTACTGTGCTTACAAGGTCTATTAAAATGAATTCTAATGTGATCTTTGGGGCAGGTTTAAGGAGCAGAGCCAAGAATTTAGACATTTTAGTGAACTGAGCCTGAAATATATAGAAAGGGCAGTTCATTTGCATAATGTAGGATTTCCATTAAAAAGTTATCATCTTGTTTTAAAAATAACCCCAAACTATCTAATAAGTATGTGTAACTCTATCCTTTGGGCGACATAATTAATAACACTGAGCCATATGCCTTTCCCAAAATAGCTTCAAGAGTTTACAATGGTAAAACAATTTTCTTAGGTTCATTTTTTTTCTTTGAGATTAATGACTTAAGAGCTTTAAAAAAATTCTACGTAGCTTTATTATGCTTTAAAATGATTATTTTACAAATTTTAAGGACCCACTATGTGCCAGCCACTGTAATAAATGCTGGAGGTAGAAGGTGAAAAAGAATGTAATTCCAGTTACGATGCAAACCATGTACTAGGAGAGGTGGCCATTTCACTGCAAGTGCACACATCCCTGAAAACTGGAGCATGCGCAGTGATGGAGAGGGAAATGGAAGGTCATGAAAGAGGGACCCAGGAGTCATCACACCATAGACTGGAGGAGGGGGCTCTTTGGGAAGAATCTGTTTGAGCTAAGAACTGAATCATGAAAATACTACAAGTGGTTTACAGAATGAGAAGACACACAATCCAGGAAGTGGACAGCTCATGTCAAGCCACGGGGCAGGAAATGAAGGGCAGCCATGCAGCTAGAAGGGGTTCAAAGAAAGAGGGAGAAATACAACACAAGGGTGGCGAGGGCCAGAGGGCCAGAACTCTCAGCTCCTGGAGGCTGCAGTAAATAACACGGGGTTTTATTGAAGTTGTGATAGAAAGTCAGTAAAGGTTTTCATAGAGAAGTGATGTGATCTGGTTTAAAGTTTGGAAATGTATTTCGCATTATCGCTGCTGTGAAAAGGGACTGGGAGTAAAGGCAACAATGTAAAAGGAGAGGCAGGTTAGGAGGCAAGAGCCCTGTGGGCACTGGCAGTGGAAGGCACAGGGGTGGAAGGCCATGCTTTAGAACAGAAATGACACAACTTGAGGAGTTAGATGTGGCAGGTGAAATGTCACATATAACACAGAGGTTCTGAATTGAGTACTTGGCTGTCTGAGGTGTCAGTTAAAGGGATGAAAAGGCCTAGGGAAAGAGTAGGACCAGGGGACCGGCAAAGCGCTGTACTTTCAATGTGTTAACTGTACTACGCTTAGGAGACAGCTAAAAGGAAAATGACCAGGAGGCAGCTGGCCGTCCTCGGCTAGGCAGCAGGCATTACCTCCCAGCAACAATATCCGGCAGGCATTCAGTAAGTACAGCCGTCCATGTCTGTTGGTGTCCATGAAGGATGGGGGTTATATACCCCGGAAGATACCGTAACTAGAGGATGCAAAAATCCCTTATGCCAAATGATAGAGTGTTTTGAGTGTAACCCTACACAACTCTCCTATAAACTTCAAATCACCTCCAGATCACTTGTAATGGTGAATGTGACATAATTGCGATGTATGGAACTGGGCTGCACTGTTAAGGCAACAATGATAAAGTAAGTCTACACGCTTCCATCGCAGCTGGCTGAAGTGAAGCACCTTCAGACACAGACTGCACTGCACTGAATTAGCATACACAGAATTTTCCCCCTGTAGTTGCTAAGGACGGAGATTGATGCAGCTCCATTCCCATCTAATCACCCTGTGACCAGAGAACATATTTTAAAAGGCTAGCTGAGGTTGAAATTGAAGTCTAGCCATGCATGTTCCCAAAGATCATATCCATAACTTTAGTTTCATGAACTCCAAAAGCTAATAAATTAAATCACATCTCAAGTTGTTGAGATTCCTGAATAATTTATTCATGGGTGATGTGCATTCTGTAAGAGCCACCAGCATCCTCCGCCGGCCCATGCTCCACTCTCTCTAGCAAACATCCTAGTGCTTCCCGCACCCACAGGCTCCTAGCATCTGGTACCCTGGCATATGTAAACACTCTGCCTGGAAGCACCTCTTCCTTTTATTTCTCCTAGTGAATTTTTATTACACATCTCCTCCCAGATGTAACTGAAGCACAACCTCACTTGAAAGAGTCTCTGATGTGTCTCTGCTAAGTCCCTTTGCTGTGACCAGCAGCCTAGCGGTCACAACACACTTAAGGAATGGATTAGGCTCTATGTCGAGGGCCTAAACACATGCCTGGCTGAGAGATGCTAGGGAAAAGGAGTGTGTACTATTCAAAGTTCATCCCCGGTGTTGAGCATGATGCCTGTGTGTAATAGGCATTCATTACATGCTTGCTGGGTAAGTAACAAGTAAGTAATAAATAAGAACAAACATGGAAATATAATTTCTGATTTTCAGCAAAAAAAACAAAACAAAACATAAAAAGCCCATTAACCTCTATGGAAATCAATATGATGGTATCTTAGAAAACTGGGAATTGATTTAGCTCAAGACCCAGACTCCTGTGCATATACCTAAAGGACATTCCACCATACCACAGGGACAATTGTTCAACTATATTCATAGCAGCTTTATTCGTAATACCTAGAAACTGGAAACAACCTAGATGACCCTCAACTGTAGAATGGATAGAGAAAATGCAGTACATTTTACATGATGGAATACTACTCTGCTATTAAAAACAAGGAAACCATGAAATTTGCAGGCAAATGGATGGAACTAGAAAAGATCATCCTGAGTGAGGTCACCCAGACCCAGAAAGACATAGATGGTGTGTACTCACCTCTAAGCGGATATTAGCTATAAAGTACAGGATAACCCTGATACAATCCACAGACTAAAGAAGCCAAGCATCAAGGAGAGCTAACGGGGGGCTGCATGACTCTTGCTGTAACAGCACGGTCTTAGTGCTTTGCATTTGACTGTTGACTATGCTGCTCCCCGGGGTCTGCTTGCTGCTTTTCATGAGCAGACACTCACATGCCCCAAGTACTGCTGTGTAAGCTCGCCTCCCTGACTGGCTGAATAAAAGTCCTGTGTCTGAGAAGGGCAGAAGTGAGGGGTGGAGCTAAGGTTGGCAGGCTTGGAGGACAGAAGGATCACGGGAGGAGACAGAAAGAGGAGCCAGAAGGAAACAGAACCTGCCATGGGTTAGCCTGGTGAGAAGTACCTGGCCGGATCGGGTGGATAAAGAAAAGCAGCCAAGGGGAGAAACATAAGCAAGTATTTATGGAATTATGGATGGGAGGTAGTCCAGATAGAAATTATTAGAGCAATTGGCATGGGATGGGAGTTGGGAGGTAAAGGTAATTTAGGGGGTTATTATCTGCCCAGCCCCAGGTAAAATAAGGCTTATCTAAAATCTATCAGGTGTCTGTGCCTTTTATTGATTTGAAAGCAGGTTAAATAACACTGCCATAATAATTATAGGCTTTTAATAATAAACATTAATAGCTATATTTATTTTCCACAATAGCTCACTGTGAAAGAGAAATAGAACAGACATTGTGGGAAGAGGGTGGGTTCTGGATGGGAGGGTGGAGACAGGAACAGGTGAGATCAGGTGGAGAGCTGATCTCAGGTGGAGACAGAGGGGGAGGGTACTGAGAAAGACAACTGGAATGCACTGGGGAGTGCATCACTGGGATCACTGGGATGAGCTCCCAGGAATCTCTGAGGGCAACCCTAGCTAAGACTTGGAACAATGAGGGCTATGGAGCCTGAACCAGCTATTTCCTATAACCAGGCAAGACTTCCAGCGGAGGGATTGGGACACCAATCCAGCCACAAAACCTCCAACCTACAATTTGTCATGCCTATAGATATGATAGCGCAGAAATTGTGGGAGTGGCCAACCAGTGGCTGGTGCAAATTGAGACCCATACCATGACAGGGAGCCCACCCCTGACACTGCCTGGAGGACCCCTTCCAGAGGAGCTCCAGAGGAGATCTAAGATAGACCCTAACAAGACGGGGGGGGGGGGGGGGGGAGAAAGTGAAAAAAAGATCAATGAAATGATTCCTAATGATATTCTAGTATACTCGTAGATTGATTGCCTAAGCCATTTGTCATAAGAGAGCATTCACCCAGCAACTGATGGAAACTGATGCAGAGACCCACAGCCAAACATTAGGCAGAGCTTGGGGAATCCCACAGAAGATGGGATGGAAGGATTGTAGGAGCCATAGGGGTCAAGGGTACCACAAGGAAAACCACATTCAACTAACCTGGGCTCATGGGGGCTCACAGAGATTGAACCAACACGCAGAAAGTGTGCATGGGTCTGATCTAGGCCCTCTGCATATATGTCACAGTTGTATAGCTTGGTCTTCTTGTTGGACTCCTAACTGAAGGAGTAGGAAGTGATTCTCTGAC